GAGGAGAGCCAATTCAATGTCAAATCAAGTTAGGCAATTGGCCATTTGAGAACGCAATGGCAAAATAATTTCTCTCAGAGACGTGGGAACTCGTGCACGTGACGCAATGTGCATCAGGCCAGCTCAGAGGGAGGTAGACTGAAAAAAAACAGAAACAGCATTCAAAAACTCGACATTTTATGCGAAGGCCTGAAAAACGTTGGTGAGCGTAAATGAGCCAATTTGCCCACGAAGTGTTTATCCAATGTAGCCCATTATAAATTACTCCAAGAGGTGAGCTATTTCTGAAGCTTCTGGTCAGCATGAGAACAATTACTTCGGCTAACTCATGTGTACGCCGTTAGTTATGACCTCCTTGTTATATACAGTGTTCTCTAAGTAACCAACCCGTCATGCCTGAAGGTGAAATAAGGTGACTCATCTGTTTTGCTTCCACCATTCACTGCATGTTTGGAGTGACTTTCCGCTCTGGCAAAACGTGCCTTTTGTGACTCTTCTTCTACCACGTGGGAATTTTTAATCCTAGGTGGAGGCACAGTAGCTTTCCTATCCCACTAAATGTCAACCGAACTTCTGAAGTGTGCTTTGGATTCGAACAAGCCACTTAAGTAGACTTTTACTAGTTATTATCGTGCCACCTAATCTTAAAATAGTTCAGCCACGTAAGGATACCGGCTTATGTATGACTTACTTGCCGATAGCCTGCAAAAAGCACACTCTTTAAAATTGTTACTTAAGTTATATTCGTTTATATTATGGATTTTAAACGCCGCCCATAATTTCACACCTGTATTGTATAGAAAACATGCACAAAATATTCTGTATTTTACCTTTTTGATAGCATATTACACTTCCTTTAAGCATAAGCACATATTTAACTAGACTATGAGAGGGATGTCATAGTTCTCATGGAATGTGGCAAAAGGTGTGGCTCCTGCTGTATATTCTTTCGACAACATTAATAAATTGTCGGATAGGATACATTGTCAATGAATATTTGAAGATCTTTAAAAACGCAAACTAACTTTTTGTCAAGTATACAGTTTGAAGAAGGCGTAGTCTGCTATTAAACGAGTAGAAAAAAGAACATTTTTGTGCATGTCTTCTACAAATGTATTTGAACTTATAGGGCAGCGAAAAGAGAACGAGAAACAGTCATTCCACCTTAGTAGTCCTTTCATACAAAGTGGTGAAAGAAAAGCTCATGCAAAAGCCCATATCACTACTTATGAATGTAGCCATACCTGTAAATGAAAATTAATTGCCGGGGAAAATGAACGCCCGAAACGAAGGGCTGTGATTCATATGCCCTTTTTAATTGCTAAAACCTTTAATAAGTTACCTTGTAACAGTTCCTTTGCATGAGGCTCTACTGGCAAATGTCAACCTGCTTCATCTTTTTTCAAAGTAAAATCGATGAAAAAAGTGATTGGCACTGTCTTGAAAGCTACCGGTTGATTTTGTCGTTGACGAAAATCCAACCTTTTTCCTTTCATTTTAGTTACTTTCGCTTTATTTGCTTTATTGTAGTCCCCGCCATGCGGTCCTAGTTGCCATATAACTAAAAGAATATGTCTCAGGCGACTAAGTAGCTCACAGCAAAAAGTATCTTAACATTGCTCAAAAGTTAAAATTTCGGCTAGATGTTGGGCTTTTTAGTGGTTTTCTCTTGCATATTTGTGTATGTGTGCAGAATCCGAATAAATTAAAACACAGGGTTTGAGAGTAGTTTTTATTTTTCATTTTCGGAATTTGGAGTCGAGGAAATTTACATATGCACAATCCACTGTTTTGTTCGCGCCCCACAACAATTTTTTTTCTGTTCGTATGCCTTTAGTGTTTCTCGATTTGTATAATCCCTATCTCCCTTTCCCTCAACATATGGCCCACTCTGATAATTGCTTTCTCCTGTGAGGACAGCATTTGCAGGTAAAGAGTGAACGAGGAATAGTGAATGTGCGCTTGCCATGGCGTTTGCTGTGGTAAGCAGAATGTCCTCAGTAGAGTGGGAAGGTTTGCGAGGAGGTCTAATAACTGCGGGTTAAGTTTCGTCTCTGAGACCCCGGGTTGGGACGGGCGCGTGTCCTTAAGTCAGGTCATTTCACAAAGTGTTTTGAACGCCCGGTATGTGGTGCTTGGCTTACTGGCAGTCTCATATCCTCCCTATTTTACCCTCTGGACTCATAAATAGCACTAGGTTTCCTACCGTTTTGTTTTGGCAAATCAAACCTTTGTAAGTGTGAGAAAATGTGGAACAAAATTCACGCCAACGTTCTCACGCAAGATTTTTATCTGTTGTTGTCGTCAGGCCAGTTCATCAGGTCTGAAAAACAGCTTCCCATTTATCTCCCTGGTTGAATTTAAAAACCCACTCTATAGTCTGTTATCGGCTATAAATGCGACCCGGTTTCAATTAAGGTGCCAATAACAATTTTTTTGAATAAACATGACGCCTTGGCTGCCTCCAAGGACCCTGGACAAGTTCTTCTACCTATGCTCAGATATTGGGGGAATAGTTTGATGATAAAGGTCATAAAACGCCATGTTAGAGGACCTAATCGAAGCTCATGCCAGAGCCCAGCATACCAATGTTTATTCACCAACCGTATAGCATGTGCCTGTCGGCGCCAATGATTAAATTACTCCCGCTTTCACCTAATGACTGGACACGACAGTTTTCTTGTGCTTCTGATTGACGCCAACGTTCTGCGTCCTTTGATTTTCAAAATTTCCCCATAGCAGCCTTGCCTTCTGTATTTTTCCGATGGAAGACTATTTTATGAAGATTTTTATGCAGAAATTTGGGCAGAAGCATTTAAGCTAGCAGCCTTCAGGCGTACTTCTCGGTTTGGGATTAAAGTGAACTCAGCGCCCTGCCGTTCGTGCCTATCTTTATGACTTGAGTTTTTTTTGCTGCATTATTTGTATTTATTCTGACTATTATCATTTACTCTACTTTCTACAACCGCTATAGGCACTGTCATTGCCGTGCTGACCGTGTTCATCCTCGTCCTCAAGTTCAGCATTCTCACCTTCGGGGTTGAGAAGCAGCCGTGGAACACGAGCAAGCATCTGAAGCGCCTGGTCGGCTTCATCATCACTGGTGTCACAGTGCTCGTCGTTGCGGTTCCGGAGGGCCTGCCACTAGCCGTCACCCTCGCTTTGGCCTACTCTGTCCGCAAAATGATGGATGTGAGTTGCCGTCCGCTCGCTCTAAAACGTTATATCTTAATGGTCTGGGTTTTTTTATTGCGATGTTTTGTTTCTCAATAAGCCAAACTCGACTGGCCATTTCCAACCTCAAGCTCCTAAGTTGTCAGCAAGTACTCTTTTTTAGATTGCTTTGCCTTTAAAAAAGCAGATACGAGTCAATTTTTACTCTCGATTGGCCATCTAGCCTCTTCCGTTGCCTATCAAAATGGGTGACTCCGAAATTGGCGTCTTCGGTGGCACCTTAGTAGCAAACACACGCACATCTCTTGACAGTATGTGCAAGCAGTACTTCCTCCTCTCTTTAATAATGCTGCAAAACAATAAATCGCAGTGAGAAGTAATGTCATTTACTAATGAGCTCGGATGTTCATGCGTGGAGACAGTATTTCCATAACTCAGTTGGCTCCTGACCCCATGGCGGACCTTGAGTTATTACCTTACAGGAGAGGCTTTAGCGCGGTGTTTCTTATGAACTGTCGACACTGGCCATTTTGAAGATTGTCGGTGATTGGAAGGGCTTTTCTTGGGAGAACAGGCCAAGCCGAGGGGCCGGAAGTATTCTTTATCCAACTAGTTGGATTTGAACACTATTTGTGAGCCAGACCCCTCTTCACTAAAGGTTCGAAGCATTTTTTGTGAATATTATCGTGTCTTTGTTACCATTGCTCATGGTTT